AAGAAGAGGTCCATTATTCTCAGTTGATTCTTAAATGTTGAACTACCTTTACATATCTGGATTAAATCAAGGTGTATGATTGTTTTTAGACATTGTTGGATTTGACTTGCTAATATTGTGTTGAGGATTTTTACTTTCTATGTTTATAAGAGGTATTAGTCTGTAGTTTTCCTTTCTTGGATTATATGTAGCTGGTTTTGGTATTAGGGCACTTTTGGTCTCATGGAATGGGTTAGTCTTCTCTGCCTGTGTTTTCTGAATTGTATGATGTTTTCCTTAAATGTTTGGTAGAATTCACTAGTCAAATAATCTGAGCCTCGGGGTTTTTTTTTTTTTTTTTTTGGAAAGGTTATTAATTTTTGATTCCATTTCTTTAATGAATAATGAATATAAGATTATTAAAGTCTTTTGTTTCTCCTTGTGTGGGTTTTGGCAATTTGTCTTTTTGAGGACTTGGTCTGTTTTATCTAAGTTATCAAATTTGTGGGTGTCAACCTGAAATAAGCTGAAGCAAAATTATTGTAAGTAGAGAGTTTATTTGGGCAGAGCCGGAGGATTGCAGCCCAGGAGCATAGACTCACGTTGCCCTGAATACACACACTTCCTAGCAGCAGCTGTAAGTAAGTGGATTTTTAAAGGCCAAATTGTGGGGGACAAGGAAGGAACCAATAGAGTTGCTTGTCAGGAGTTCTCAGGTTCCCAGACATAGCATTGAGTTATTGGCTACATGTTGTGAAGCTATAGATTGTGAATTATTAGGTTAATCCATAGCTACTTACGGCAATAACAAGCAGTTTCAAGAGGTGAATACACAACTCAGAGGAGGTGGGTTGGTGAGGGGGCGGTACGGCGTGATTTCGGTCTCATTTTAATGTCTCTTTGGGCCTGGTAGTTAAAAATACTTGCATTCCTCTGATAAGATCTTTTCTCACAGTCATCGAGTTAAAGTTATTCATAGTATTCCTGTATTACTTTTTCAGTATCTGTGGGATCAGTTATGACTCCTCTTTCATTTCTGATATTGGTCATTTGTGTTCTCTCTTAGTTATCTTGGCTAGAGATTTATCAGTTTTATTCATTTTTTTTCCAAAGAACTAGGTTTTGGTTTTGTTGATTATTTTTTTGTTTTCTTTTCCTCATATTCGTTGCTTTCTGCTCTGATTTTTATTATTTCTTTCTGCTTGCTCCTCTTTTCTAGTTTCTTAAGGAGGTAACTTAGCTTATTGAGTATAGATCTTACTTCTTTTCTAGTATGTGCATTCTTCCTGTAAGCTGTTGATGAAAGAGTCAAACTCTGTGAAATGTTTAAGGAGGTTTATTTTGAACCAAATGTGAGTGATCAAGGTCTGAGACAGTCTCAAGAAGTTCTGAGAACATGTGCCTATGGTGACTGGGTTACAGCTTGGCTTTAAACGTTTTAGGGAGGCATAAGACATCAGTCAGTATAGGTCGGGTATACATATACATTGGTTCCGTGTGGAAAAGCAGGACAGTTCAGAGTGGGGACATATGGGTCATAACTGGATTAAAAGAGTTTCTGATTGGCAATTGGTTGGAAGAGTTATTATCTAAAGACCTGGAATCAATAGAAAAGAGTGCCTGAATTAAGATAAGGGGTTGTAGATACTAAGGTTCTTAATGCTTAGATGAAGTCTCAAAGGTGGCTGCCCTTAGAGACAATAGATGGCAGATGTTTCCGATTCGGACCTTTAAAAGGTGCTAGACTCTCAGTTAACCACTTAAGGATTGAGAAGACCTGGAAGCGGGGTTCTGATGATGTTAACAGAGTCTTTACAAATACAGTTTTTCTCCACCAAAAAAAAAAAGGCTTTGCAGGATCATTTCAAAATAGGGCAAAGAAGCATGTTTTGGGGTAAAATATTTTGATTTCCTTCTTTATCTGTCACGTGATGTTATGCCAGAGTCCAGTTGGAAAGCAGCCATTTATATAGGGTTAAATAAAACCCCTCTGATGAAATTTCATGGTTTGCAGGGTGTGACTCCCCAGACCCGACAGGAATTTGGGCAAGAGGAAAAAGGTCAAAGTTTAGTCTTCAAAGCTCTGCTTTGCTGTATCCCACAGATTTTGTTAAGTTGTGTTTTTGTTTTCAATTACTTCAAAGTATTTTTAAATTTCTTTTTAGAAGTTTGAAGATTTTTTTTTTAGAAGTATGTTGTTTAATTTTCCACATAATTGGGTTTGGGGTGAGTTCCCAGCTATCTGGGAACTAGTATACTTCTGTTGCAGTTTGAGAACATAACTTTGCATGATTTTCATTTTTTAGAATTTGTTACAGTATATTTGATGGCCCAGCATGGGGTCTGCTTATTGAATGTTCCATGTGAACTTGAGGGGAATGTATATTCTGCTGTTGTTGAATGTAGTATTATGTAAATGTCAGTTAGATAAAATTGGTTAACATTGTTGTTTAGTTTAACTCTATCCTTACAGACATTCTGCCTGCTGGGTTTATCAAGGTTGTTGACCGGAGTATTGACGTCTCTAAGTGGATTTCTTTCTTCCTTTCTGTTCTGTCAGTTTTCACCTCATTTATTTTGATCCTCTCTTGTTAGGTATATGCATGTTTAGGATTGTTATGTCTTCTTTTCATTATTGTTATTATACAGTGCTCCTCTTTAACTCTGATAATCAAAGAATGTTTGCAGTCTGCTTTGTCTGAAATTAGTCCCCAGTATCACTTTTCTTTTTTTCTTTTTTTTGAGACGAGTCTTACTCTGTTGCCCAGGCTGGAGTGCAGTAGTGTGATCTTGGCTCACTGCAGCCTCCGTCTCCGGGGTTCAAGTGATTCTCCTGCCTCAGCCTCCCAAGTAGCTGGGATTACAGGCGTGCACCGCCATGCCCGACTAATTTTTTTTGTATTTTTCACCATATTGGCCAGACTGGTCTCGAACTCCTCACCAGGTGATGTGCCCACCTCGGCATTCCAAAAAGTACTGAGATTACAGGCGTGAGCCACCACTCCTGGCCCAGTATCGCTTTTTAAAAGACTTCTTGGGGGCCTATTTATTTTGCAAGATTTGTAGTTTCCCTTATCAACTCATTTGTACTGTTGTCGGATTATCTGTGAGAGTCTGTTAGGCGCTGATGTTAATTTTTCATTAGGGAGGGATGAGTCAGGGGATTAATTTTTATTGGTGGATAATTACTAATGAATGTTTTTATACGATGACAGTTTTTGTTTTGCCAGTCAACTTTGTACACCGAATAAAGAATATTCATGTAAGATGGAGTATTTGTATTTATTGGAGTGCTAATTTATTGGGGTGCTAATTCAGACCTCACTGTCTGTTATTTAGGATATAGTTAAATTGTCTGTTCTCAGCATGTTAGTAGTAGTAAGGTAGAGCTGGCGTTGGGAGTGGGAAGGCTTGTGTGGCACCACCTGATGTTGAAGGAAGGGGACTGATTGACTATATGGCAGTGGCTACTGTAGTTACATTTGCCACTGGGAAAACCTTTGTCTAGAGAGGCTAAGTAATTATCTGGAAGTCTCTATGATTCTTTTTTTTTTTTTTTTTTTTTTTTAAAGACTTGCAGTGTTGCTGTATTGTCCAGGCTGGAGTGAAGTAGCTGTTCGCAAATGCACTATAGCCTCAAATACCTGGACTCAAGTGTCCTCCCATCTCAGCCTCCCGAGTAGCTGGAACCACAAGCCCAAGCCACTGCGTCTGGCTGTCTTGTAAATCTTCGTTCTGTGCCGATGCCAGATCAAATAGTGAGATGTCACCGTACACTTTTTTTCTCTTCCCCCATTGATATGGGGGTGGGGAAGAAAATAAATACCAGGCTATCTCTTCTTGCCATTCAGTAGCATAAGTGATTTATAACTTGATAACAGTCTGAAGGCATTATAGTGTAAATAATGCTATATGAACTGTTCATCAGATCTCAACATTTGTAATCATAAATAACACTTATGATGCTCATTAGTTTACAAAAGTGTCTTTACATCAGAAATTTTGTGTAGTTCCTTGTAACAATCCTGTAAGTAATCTTCATTTTAGTAGTAGACCTGGGCTTGGAGTCTGAAAGGGAATTATGTGGAATTGTATCCCCAAAGCGTCAGAACCCAGATCTTATTTTTCCCACACTATACCACACTGTTTCTATAGAATAAGAGGCCTCAGAACATTATTCCCCATGGTGTCAGCTGGACTAGTTTACCGTAGCATATTTAAATGGTGTGTTCTGTGAGATTTTTATTTTATTTTATTTTTGAAACGGAGTCTTACTCTGTTGCCCAGGCTGGAGTACAGTGTCACGATCTCAACTCACTGCAGTCTCCACCTCCTGGGTTCAAGCAATTCTCCTGCCTCAGCCTCCTGAGTAGCTGGGATTACAGGCGTGTGCCACTGTACCCGGCTAATTTTTGTATTTTTAGTAGAGACGGGGTTTTGCCATGTTGGCCAGGCTGATCTCGAACTCCTGACCTCAAGCAATCCGCCTGCCTCGGATTCCCAAAGTGCTGGGATTACAGGCGTGAGCCACCGCACCTGGCTTATTTTATTTTATTTTTCTGAGATGGAGTCTTGCTCTGTCATCCAGGTTGGAGGGCAGTGGTGCGATCTCAGATCACTGCACCCTCTGCTTCCTGGGTTCAAGTGATTCTTCTGCCTTGGCCTCCTGAGTAGCTGGGATTACAGGTGCCCACCATCACACCTGGCTAATTTTTGTATTTTTAATGGAGATGGAGTTTTGCCTTGTTGGCCAGGCTGGTCTTGGAACTCATGATCTCAGGTGATCCACCCACCTTGGCCTCCCAAAGTGCTGTGGTTACAGGCGTGAGCAACCGCACCTGGCCTTTATGAGATTTTAAAATTACACTGTGCTTAAACTGTATACCCTAACATCAGTTTTTGTGGAGTGTGTAGCAGTGTCTCTTTTTACTTCCTGATGGTTAATGATTGATTTTCAAATGAATTGATTTAAAATGGAAGCCTCAGTATTACCTAATTTTTTAAAAAAATTGTCTTTATAGAAGCTGAAACCTATCAACACTCTTCAAAATGCAATGGAACGTACCACGGACTGTATCTCGACTGGCACGCAGGACATGCTTGGAACCACATAATGCTGGTCTTTTTGGACGCTGTCAAAATGTAAAGGGACCTTTACTTTTGTACAATGCTGAATCCAAAGTGGTTTTGGTACAAGGCCCTCAAAAACAATGGTTGAATTTATCTGCTGCCCAGTGTGTTGCAAAGGAAAGGAGGCCATTGGATACTCATTCACCCCAACCAGGAGTCCTTCGCCATAAGCAAGGGAAGCAACGTGTTTCATTCAAGAGGGTTTTTTCATCCAGTGCCACAGCTCAGGGAACTCCAGAAAAAAAGGAAGAGCCTGATCCTTTGCAAGACAAATCTATTAGTCTTTATCAACGGTTCAAGAAGACATTTAGACAGTATGGAAAAGTTCTGATTCCAGTGCATCTAATAACTTCTGGTGTTTGGTTTGGAACATTTTATTATGCGGCCTTGAAGTAAGTTTTTGCTTAGTTGAATGTCTTTCCCTGTCTTACTAGAATATGAATCTTTTTAATTGTACTAATGATAGCTTTAGATTTTTAAATGCTTTAATGTGTTTCATCCATAGAGGATAACTGTTTTTCATAGCTTTTTTCACATTTTAATAATAATAGCTAATATTTGCTTCCTGTTTGGAGCAAGCATCTGGTGTAATTTTTAACTGTTTCATCTTATTTAATCGTCCCAGCAACCATATAAAGCAAGTTACACAATTACACCCATTTTATGAATGAAAAAACAGATTATTAGGCAAGGAGAGTAAAAATAGTTCAGCTTTTCCCAAAATGACTCAGCTGCTAAGAAGTGGTGCCTGGACTAAAAAGCCAATTAGGTGTGTCTGATCTCAAAGCATACCCTCTCCTCTATGCAGATCTCATCCTGGCATTCAGGAGAGCACAGACATAAAACAAAATTTCAGAAATTTGGCAGCACCATGACTCTGTAATTATGTATTTCTTAGAATGTTCATAAATATGAAAAGATACCTGTTTTGCCATATGTGTGGTTTTGGTGGGAAATTTGCAAGATTTTCCCAAAGCCCGGCTAATCTGTTTGCACTGACATTACTCAAGTCCAGTAAGCGTCAAGGAAAGGTCTTTTGTTCTGATCAGAAGTGAATCTGGTAGGTCTAGCCTCCCAGTGTTTTGAAACACACAATTTTAAGTGCATCTGTCTTGTTAATACTGTGCCTTCCCCTTACTTAATAAGGTAAGTTATTTGCTTCCCACTGCTTTAGGCGCAGGAGGACCAGTGATTCCCCATTTCTGCCACTAGTCGACCGAGTGCCCGTTCCTCTGTGTCTGGGCCTGGTGTGCAGGAAGGACTTAGACACTTCAGTAAACTCTCCTAATGGGTTGAGAATTTATACTTTCCAGAGTTGAGTGGTTTTCAGTGCTTGATTATATTTAACAGCTTGATATCAAGACATTAACAAATTATGGTTAGTGTTGGACATCGAGCTCACTCCTTAGAAGCAGCCTGTTGCAGACTAAGCTATAAGTAGCTCTTCCAGGGTGATGGAATAGAAACTACTTATTTTTGGGAACACGGGATCACATCAGTTTCTTGACAAAATTTCTAAAAGGATTTCTTTTCACCTTGTGTAATTGATGCTGTTCTGTTTCACTTTGTATCTTTACATTATGTTCCTGTTATTTAATTATATCCTTCTTTGTTGCATATCATTTTCTTTAAGAATTGTATCTTTACTTGCAGAAGATTCTTTAGGTGTATATTGTATGGAAGTGTTTCTTGGTTTATTAGTGACGTTTTTGGACATGTTTAATATTTATAGAAGTCTTCAAAACTGCCCTTGGTTTTTTCACAGAACATAAAGTTACCATTTTGATCAAAAGTTATTGTAGGCATTCAGCCCTGTTGTGTAATGAATGGATTTCTACATATTAACTTTTCTTTTCTGAGTCCTGGAGGAGTTTTGTGATTCAGTCTGTGAAAGATGACATGAAAAATACTTCTTTATTTTGCCCTCGTCAGGTTGCCCGTGTATGGTAAGGCAAGGCGTTCAGCCTCCTGGCTGGCCTGAGAGGGAGAAATTCAAGCTTTTAATTAATTGAATATGAGATTCTCATTTAGGTTGTTAAGAATAATATTTTTGTTCCTTTTGCTTTTCCTTATTCTTTTTGGTAAAAGTTCTGTAACTGAAAAAGTAGACCCAGAATAATCTAGTGATCTTAATAATGCTTAAAATTTCTTCAGTGCTGTGTGGCACCTAAAGCAGTTGTGGGTGATGCTCTGCCATCCCCTGTAAAATGCAACTTTGTTAGTTTTATTTTCCCCCCTCTTTTTTTGCAAAATGCTTATATGTAAACATGGTGGTAGAACTGTCAACTTTAAAATAATACCCTTCCCCATTACGCCTTGCTTTGGGGCTGTTAGCATAGGAATCTGGTTACCAGACACCACTACTGCCTGCCACGACCACTGTCAATTCTGTCATAGCATCACGGAGAGAATTTCAAATGGACAGGATAAGCTGCTTTCCAGAACAGTCCTCCTTGAGGTTTTTATTAGCTCCTTCAAAATGTGAAAGTCGATTTGTTCTAAATGAAGATCTTAATCACAAGTAATGCTTAAAAAAATCGGACTAATGGATGAAAGAAAAAGGAATTAGAGTATTTTCGCTGTAGGATGATTGTATTGTAAAAATTGAAGTTGATTATACTAAATACAGATTGTCAGTTCACCTGACAAGAGGCTAGTTATATTTTAGTGTTGTTCGTTTGTTTGTTTGTTTTAGCTGAAAAAAGTTCTGTGTTATTTGCTTGTTGCCTATTACTATTAAAAGAAAGGGAGAAAAATAGTTTGTAGCTGGAAAGACGGGCATTTGACATCATGCCTCTTTACTGACCAGTGTTTGTCTTAGTTACTCTGACAGGTCGCGTTACTGCCTTTCTAGGCACTGTAGAGCAAAATGTCATTCTATATTTAGTTAACAGAGTGATGAAGTTCTCAGGCTTTTGAAATTCTTTATTTCACAGAGTTCTAAATTGTGCATGCTAATAGATTTTATTTTAAAGTGGCTTTGTGGCCACTCCTCTCTGGCAAAGCCTTGCAGAGATCCGATGTCTTCTGTCCAGAAGTGCTTTAGTTTGGTCAAATGTGGCTCAGCAGTGGTGGTGTGGTTCCTGCATTTAGATGCCTTGTGTTTGAGACCTCAAGTTCCTAAAGTTACAGACCCACTCTGAGGCAAAACCCTGATTATTTCTACTGCACTGTATCCAGACGGCGAATGTGCTTTTGTCCTTGTGTGTTTCTTCCTCTGTGGCAACAGTTGTAAAGCTTGCAGTTTGTGAAGCACAGATTCCTGGCTGGCTGTGGGCAGTTCAGAGTAGAAAGTGACAAAGAATAGATGTTTCTGTTTGAATCAGACCCTCATTAATACTTCACATTCAGTACTTCCAGGGGAAATGAAAGTTATTTTTAAGAAAAGTCAAATCAACAGAAATAAGTGGGGCCGGGTGCAGTGGCTCTCACCTGTAATCCCAACACTTTGGGAGGCTGAGGTGGGTGGATCACCTGAGGTCGGGAGTTCGAGACCAGCCTGACCAATATGGAGTAACCCCATCTCTACTAAAAATACAAAAATTAGCTGGGCATGGTGGTGCATTACACGACAGGATTACAGAGCCTGTAATCTTAGCTACTCAGGAGGCTGAGGCAGGAGAATCACTTGAACCCAGGAGGTGGAGGTTGCCGTGAGCCGAGATCATGCTATTGCAGGCCAGCCCAGAGCAAAACTCCATCTTAAAAAAAAAAAACAGTGGACCTAGATGCTTGCTTCTTTTTCTGACAGAGAACACAAGCCAGTGATGATGCAGCTTGTTCCTGGAGTCTCAGTCCATTGTTGTATGATCTTTTATTTTTTAATTTTGTTATAGAGACAAGTGTTGACAGTGTTGACACCGTGCCTGCCCTAAACTTTATGTTAATGAGATTTAGTTGTTATCTAGAAAGAGATTTGAAAAAGAATTGAAACTGAAGATAGAAGAAAGAATGAAGGTAGAAGAAATGAGATTGGACTCATAGTTTATTTTTTAATTTATCTGTTTAAAGTTTCCTTACATTTTTCTGTTTTCCTCTGACTTCTGATGATAAGTAATTTTAATAGTCCTTTCTTGAGGATGATCAGCCGTATCTGCTGAGGGTGCTCCCTGACTGCTTAGTATTATGATGAAGTCACAGAGTGGGGCATCTTTTCCCTAGTTAATATTAAAAATATTCAGAATTTACCATTACCGTAATCACAATAGATCTAGGCAATGCTCTTTCTTAATGTCATAGGGAAAGCTGCTTTTACAGTGGAGGTCTACGGGCCCTGCCTTCACCAAGAGGCAAACTCAGTAATGCTAATAAGGGAGGAGACCACCCCTCATATTGTCTTATGCCCAATTTCTGCCTCCAAAGAAAGAAGTAAAAACTAAAAGACAGAAATGAAATCCACAGGCAGACAGCCCGGCCCCACACCCTGGGCCTCGTAGTTAAAAGATCGACCCCTGACCTAATCGGTTATGTTATCTATAGATTACAGACACTGTATGGAAAAGCACTGGGAAAATCCCTGTCCTGTTCTGTTCCGTTGTGATTACCAGTGCCTGTGGACCCCCTTAGAGTTTTAAGCTCTTAAGAGGCACAGGAATTGCTCACTCGGGGAGCTCGGTTTTTGAGACAGGAGGCTTGCCGATGCCCGTGGCTGAATAAAACCCTTCCTTCTTTAACTCGGTGTCTGAGGGATTTTGTCTGTGGCTCGTCCTGCTACATTTCTTGGTTCCCTGACCAGGAAGCGAGGTGATTAACGGAGGGTTGAGGCAACCCCCTTAGGCGGCTTAGGCCTGCCCTGTGGAGCATCCCTGCGGGGGACTCTGGCCAGCTTGAGCGCCGCAGATCCTGAGAGTGCTCCCTGGTAGGCAGTTGCCCCAGTGGAATGCCTCGCCAGAGCAGCACATGGCAAGCCCCTGCGGAGGATCAACGCAGTGGCTGAACACCGGGAAGGAACTGGCACTTGGAGTCTAGACATCTGAAAGTTGGTAAGACTGGTCTTTGAAACTTGCCCACTCCATTTGAGTGGAAGCGTGGCCTGATCACCCACGGCTTGCCTGTACTGGCACTTTGGTGTTTGTTTTTGACTTGACTTGGATTGCTCGATACTTTGATTTTGGTTTTGAGCCGGCTTGGATTTCTTGATACTCTGATTTTGGTTTTGATTCTGGTTTGGTGTAAACCATGGAAGTGTGTGTGTGCCCTTTTTACCCGTTCTTTGTTTTGTGGTGTGTGTGTTGTCTTGAGGAAGCATGGGTCAGGCACAAAGTAAGCCCACTCTGCTAGGAACTATGTTGAAAAATTTCAAGAAAGGATTTAAGGGAGATTACGGTGTTACTGTGACACCAGGAAAACTTATAACTGTGTGTGAAATAGACTGGCCAGCATTAGAGGTAGG